GTGATTGGGATTATACCTGATGTAAGATGAAGAGTTGATGGGTGCTGACGAGTTGGTGGGTGCAGCACACCAACATGGCACAAGTATACATATGTAACAAACCTGCACGTTATGCACATGTACCCTAGAACTCAAAGTATAATAATAAAAAAAAAAGAGAAATAGCCATTTTAAAATAATTTATCAATAAAAAGCAGAATATAGGACTTTAAGGTAGCCTGATGAGTTCAATATAGGACTTAGGACAGAATCATTAAATACAGAACATGTCTCACAAACATAGAATGTCTAGAAGCCTTAGTAATAGGGCCAATATGAAGATAATATTCATGTGTTTATCATTGTGTAATTGAGAGATTAATTAAAACTTAGACGAACAATAAAAAATAAAATAGTGAAAATTTAAAAAAAAAAAGAAATGTTTATTAAAATAACAATAATATATAATTTTAACCTATCAGATTGATATACTAAAACATGCATGCATGTATGATTGTATTTGCATATTATCTCTCCAGGGTGAATCATCTCAGATGTTAACAGTATTTGTCTCTCTGTAAGGTAACCAGGGAACAACGGTAAGATGAGCATGTACTTTTTACAGCATACTATATTGTACGTTTAACTTTTTAAACTATGTGTGTATCACTTTTATAGAATAAAATAATATTTTAAAATATATTAAAAAAAAAGAAAGTATGTTTCTTGCCTGTTTCTAGGTAAATTATTGCCAACAGGAAAGGCCATATGGTAGAATAGCTTGGGCTGAGTTTTACCCCATTCTCTGGCAAGAGGTGTAGGAATGACCATGATCTATATCATATAATCAGGACCCTGAAACTGGAAGTAGGAAGCTCTACAATATGGAAGGGCTAGAATCATTGCTGGAGAGACAAACGGTGTTCACTGAGCATTGCTGCTTACACTACAGCAAATGCCATCAAGTACCTGTGGAGCTGGTTAGATTTTTGATGTGTTACTTCTATCTCACATTTTGTTTTCCCTTGGTCTCTCATGAGGATTATTTAGTAGGAACAAAATGAACTGGCTTCTTCTGCCCTTAAGGGGAAGACAAGCTGGCAGGAACATTTGGCTGAGAAGGTGGATACATGAAGCCCCCTGTTTGAGAATCTGACAGCGGATCCCAAATCAAGATCTTCCTAGAGAAATATGATGCCTCAGAACCTATCAGATTCCCTAAGGGCTTGGGAAGGCTCTCCCCTAGGGATTTCTCTGCCCTTATTGGCCTTGGCTAATATCAGGAGGATCCAGGTGTTTGGCGAGTTGGAGAGGGAGATGGCTTGGCAGTGACTGACTCAGCAAAAAGGCTTCTAAAGAAGTGTGCCCAGCTTTCTACTCTCAGAGTCCAGCCTCCACAGCACTTTAAACACTCCCGCCTCATGGCCCGATTAGATGGGAAATACATTTTTTGTTCCAGATATTTATTTAAAAGTTTCATTTTCACTTAATAAATCCACAGCCATGGCATCTGTGGAAGGTTTCCCCAAGTGGTAATTTATGCTTAACGAAGAATTACTTTTGAAAGTGCATGGGCTGCCTGTCACTGAGGGAAATTGTGGCCACTCAGTTTTTAGACTTATTGGCTGTTACAGATTGGGGAGTTGATATATATTTGAAATGTTTATGCCTTCTCTTTCTTGTTAATTATCGATCTAAACCTTTATGGATTCCAAGACATTTGTGAACAAGGCTTTCATTAATCCCCAAGGCTGCAGAGGGGTCTCGGTAATAGAATCCCCAATTTAGAGATAGGCGGGAAACTTGGGAACCAACAGGCTAATTTCTAGGGTCAAGATAGTGGGTCAGCGATGGCAGAACTTCCAGAGTTTATAACGGGGGCACAGGGTATCTTACTTGCTCAGCAAAGATGACCCTTTGGCTGTAGCTAGGGGACAGTCAGCACTGCCCTGCCAAAAACTGAGATGTAGCTACATCCCTTCACGATGCTCCTGGGGCCTCCCCTACACTAGTGTCCCTATCCTGTGCCCTGATTTAACTTCTACTCATGTGCAGTCTACCTACCGGTGGGTTTGTCACTTCATTCTGAATTCGATATAGAAAATGTCCATACCATTAACTCCCTTCTCTTATTCCATTCTGCTCCTCCTTGCCCGTCTTCCTTCCTACCTCTCACCTACTCACCACCCAAAGGCAGTGGAGGGTCTTAAAAATAGAAACCCCAGCAAGAATCTCTCAGAACTTGGTCATCAGCTCATTAGAGCATGAGGAGTCCAAGGTGAGGCATGTTTCTTGATTCTCTCACTGTAAAGTCAGCAGAGGGCCTTAGGTCCAGTCATGTGTCCTGCCGTGGATGAGGCCGGCGGAGGGTCTGAGATCTCAGCCATGGGCGGGGCCGGCACAGAAGCTGCGCAGCCTGTGGGAGGACACTCACTCCTCAGGAGCACAGAAAGGAGGGAGGAGGAGAGGCCTTTGTTTCCTTTTCCCATTTCGTAATCCTGAGGAACTTTGGGGAGGCTCCGACTCTGCCTACTCTCAATAACTTCCTAAGAGGAGTCACTTGCTAAGAGAAATATTGGAACTGTTTCCTTTCTATATATGATATCACCGTTAACAGTCCAGCTTCCAGAAATATTCTAGTGACTAGACTCGGGCTTTGGGACATTATCAGTATTCTTATTCCCTCTTATTTTCCTGGAGGTCATGACTGAAATGAACATGATGCCACTTAATGAGAATAATGAGAAAGCCGATACCAGAGCCTAGAGATCTTACCTGCCACGGTGGAGAATCAGATGTCCCCTGTGGGCCGTATGGAGCCTGTCTCCAGAATGTCTGCTTCACCCTCTGTGGAGCCTAGAGAAGACACAGCCTCCTTCATAGACTAGAGACGCTGTGTGTCCTGTGGCACCATGTGCTTGCGTGAGGACTAGTCAGTTCTCAGAACTATGCCAGCAAACCTCTCACCTCTGGCGCAGGATGTCAGTCCAGGAAAGACCCTAAGAACTAACCCTCCTTACTCAAGCCCCGCACTATGTAAGAAATGAGGACTGAGGCTGGCCTCGATTGCATGCTCCTAATAACAAATTCAAGAATGAGGGGGGCCTGGCGGGGTGCTCGCCTCCAGGAGGCCTGTGGTTTTATGTGTGTGAGCAAACACATTTTGTTTAAGTAGACCTTCCTCCTGCCCCCACCCATAGCCCTGCTCCCCTCCACCTCTTCTTTATTCATTGCTAACAGATGCTGCAGAGGCCAGAGACAGGCAAGAGCAGGCCTGCATGGGCTCCCATGTGGGTGAGAAGAGGGAGAACTGATGAGCTGCCACAGAGCAGTGCTGATGAGGGTCTTGGCTTTGAATTTCAGTTTCTCCCTCCTCCTCTCCCTCACCCCCTGCTAACCAGGCCTTCAGACATCCTCTGCTCTGTGTCCTTCACATCTGACAATAGTCTAGATAAAAGAAAGCCTCTGCAAACTGCTAAGAGTTTGGTGTTTCTCCCCACAGCAGCATGGAGGCCAGGGAGCTGCTCTCCAGGCTCCTCCCACAGTGTTCAGCTAAGAGATAAAGAGGAAGAGCCATCCTGTGAACCTAGGCTGGGGAAGCCCCACTGTGCTCAGGGCCACTGTCACCAGTATCAGCAACATGCCATGTCTCAGCAGCCCAAACCACCCTGCACCAGAGACAAAACAGGACAAGGCCTGAGAAGGAGGCCAAGAAGGGATACTGACAAGACTGGAGCCAAATCCCCACGAAGACAGCTGTCTCTTGAGCCCCCTTCACATCCATCTGAACACTGTCTGTCCCTCTGACACTGTGCAATGCCACATAAGAGATGTCCCTGTAGTGACAAGTTTGCCTAATGTCCTGCTGGGTAAGTACCACTTTCCTAATTCCTGCCTGAATTCTGACCATCCTCAGGGCATGGGTTAAGGACCTCTTCTCCTTTGAAGCCTATCTTGATCCCTGGTTTGAGATGGTCACTGCTGCTCTGAGCCCTATGATCTGAATTTGCACTCATGGCCTTTACTGTGTCTGCCTCTAATATTCCTCTCAGGGGTCTCCTTTCTCCCACGTCCTAGCCCAGGGCCCAGGGCATGGTAGTTGCTCAATAAATGTGTTTTGGATAAGTTATATCCTGGAAATACTACTGAGCTTTGTATCCGAGACCTTGAATTAAAATCTTGCTCTGCTACACTGACAAGCTGGATACACCTGACTGTGTCCTATAGCAGTATTAAAACGCGGCCTCATTTGAAGGATGGAGGTGATGGTCTCATTACTGCATCCCGCTCCATCACTCTTGGTAGGTCAAATGAGAAGCCAGATGTTAAATGGCTACAACAGTTGTACAATAAACTAAATGGGCTTCATAATTGTGCTTTCCCTACTTCCATTTTACTGACCCCTAGTTTTATCACTATTAAAAATGAGTACTAGAAGGAAGGTCCTAGGTCCTTCTGAACAAATTCATTTCAATTTCTCAGTTATCTCCTTCAGAAGGAACTGGTTTCATTTAGCCTCTTCTTGAAGTCAGTTTCGGCAGAGTAAGGTGGTATAGATCCTTTAGCTGTAAAACTAAGGAGCTGGGGCCATTCCCTCCGCACCAAGTTGTGACTCACTGTTGTGATCTAAGTGCTCATATATTCTCAGGGGTCCCTGAACCCTCAAAGTGGGCAGAGACCACCTTCTTGGGATCTAACATTATGTGTGTGAAAGTTTAAGAAGTGAATGTGTGCCTCATTTTGGAAAGCTAATATTTGTTTCTTTGTGAGCCCCAAAAGCTGAGCTAGCTGTTTGGCTTTTCATGAGATTTGAAGTTACTTTCAGGGCTTCCTGAGGGAGAGCAAAATGGAACAGAAAATTAGCAGAGATATTAAGGACCAGAGGAAAACACAGTAACAAGAAATGGACAGGAGAAATGTGGTACAGGGCACATCCAGATCCCATCTCACGCATAGGCCTAGGTGGAAACACAGGCTTCTAAGTTGGGGCTCTTGAAAATGTTGCTGCAATCATGAGGAAGATTTACTGGCTTTTGGTCAAAGCATTAACTAAGAAGCCAACCTTGGTATCCAGAGCATTATTTTCTACACCAGATAACAGAAATGGAGGGCCAGCTGGCTTGCTGTATCTTGGGTTATCACTTCCTACCTAGGGTTTCGTGAACTTCCTTGCCCTGGCAACAGACTTGCAGGCTTGTCCCTCCATAGACAGACCTGAGTGCTACTCTGAAGACCATGGGGAAGGACAGGATATGTTTCTGCCCATGGGGATGAAACTCACCCAGAAAGCCCAGCCTACTTTTCTGCCTTCCAAGCATATTCGGCTGGCAGAATATCAACATTTTTGGTCACTAGCCATTGACTTTGGGGGTTCTAGAACAGAAGCATGAATAGTGATTCTTAGGTCTCAAGAACTAAGAAACATTGTCTTCAATATGCAGTTGCTGAGCCCTCCCTGCCAGGAATTGTCCCCGGCCACCCCTTCCAGCAGACCCATAGCAGAGTGCATGTCCCTGCTGTGTTCTCTCACATCACCCCATGGTGACCTCCGCCTCTGCATTTATTACATGGGGCTGAAATTATGTGTTAACTTCTCCATCTCCCCAAACAAACCATAACCTT